GATCTTCTCTGATGAGACAAAGATCAACATATGGGGCTCCGATGGTTGTAAGTATTACTGGAAACGGCCTGGTGATCCATTACAACCACATCACGTCGAAGTTACCATGAAGCACGGCGGGGGGAGCGTGATTACGTGGAGCTGCATGACATCAGAGGGAGTCGGATATGCTTGTCAGGTTTATGATGGTGCAATGGATTCAGCGACCTATCAACATATTCTTGGTACAACATTGAAAGATAGTGTGGATTACTATGGCATTAACTGGTCTTCATGGTACTTCCAACAGGATAATGACCCTAAACACAAATCAAAGAGCACTTTAAAGTGGCTACAAGATCACAGGGTCAACGTTATCAGCGATTGGCCAACACAAAGTCCAGACTTGAATCCGATGGAGCATATATGGCGTCAGTTGAAACTCAACCTTAGTCTTTACAACACACATGCCAAAAATACTCAAGAATTATGGAAAAGAATTGAAAGGGAGTGGAACAAGTTTGATAAGGATTTGTGTTGCAAGTATATCGATACTATGCCAGATAGAATAAGGGCGGTCATCAAGTCTAAAGGAGGCTATACGAAATATTAAAAATGATATGGTTTTTTTATTAATAAAGTTCGCTTAAGGATTTATCTTTACAAGCCCAATATTCAATGAAGACTTTATATTATTGTCGAAGGACTACACAGTAGTTGAGGGTCATTGACGGTGATCTGATGTGGAACACTCAGTGCACAGCGACCATGTATGAAGGACAGTTGGCACAAGAACGTCAAAATAAAAGAATATACCCGGGTTTTTTCACCTACTGTAAATCAGAGACTTATGATCAGTGGCCAAGGTAAATGGTCTGTTATAGAGCCATTTGTGGAATTTGTCAAACATGTAAACTATTGCCAATAATTCACGCTTGTTGGTAGGATAACGACGTTCCGTAGCTGTGAGAGCTCTTGCCGCAAAGGCGTTGTATTTAATTTCTTGGTTGATGACCTGGTAGATGACACCACCGATACCATAAGCACTAGCATCTGTTGCGACATAGAAGCGGTACTTGAGATTAGGAATGCTGATAACAGGAGCGTTAATCAAAGCAACCTTAATATCCTGGAAAGCTCGATCGTGAGATTCATTCCAAATTTCTCTTAAAGAATTTGAAGATCTAAGTCTGTCAAGAGGAGCTGTGAGCCTAGAGAACATAGGAACACTAGTACGGAAGTAATTAGCGAACCCAAGAAAGCTCATGACCTGTTTACCAGTAGTAGGTGTAGGCCAAGCATCAATGTTTGACAACTTGCGTTGATCGGGAATGAGTGAACCATTGTTACCAATAGTCCAACCCAGAATATTTACACAACTTTGAGCAAAGTGTGTCTTTTCGACGTTGATGATGAGATTTGCTGATGTGAGACGTCTTAAAACTTCTTGAAC